GATTACCGGGAAAGCTTTGCCCCGGTTGCAAAAATGGTGACAGTCCGTGTCCTTCTTAGTGTGGCCTCTCTGCGTGGCTGGCATCTCCACCAATTGGATGTGAACAATGCTTTCCTGAATGGCGACCTTGATAAGGAGGTCTTCATGTCCTTGCCTTCTGGTTTCGGGCGAAAGAGGGAGCATGGGGTCTGTCAATTGCACAAGTCATTGTACGGACTAAAACAGGCATCTAGGCAATGGTTTATCAAGCTGTCCACTGCCCTCAAGGCCGCGGGATTCCAACAGTCACGATCTGATTATTCTCTCTTCGTCCAACGTCGTCAAGGCAACTTCCTAGTGTTGTTTGTATATGTTGATGATGTCATACTGGCGGGGAACAATTTTGAGGATATAGAGAACACAAAGTTATTCTTGGCTAACCGATTCAAACTCAAGGATTTGGGGCAGTTGAAATATTTCCTCGGCATCGAAGTTGCCAGGTCACAACATGGAATTAGTTTGTCGCAACGTAAGTATGCCTTGGAAATCTTAGATGATGCAAGCTTTTTGGGTGTCAAACCTTCTCGATTCCCTGTGGAACAAAATTTGTCCCTTACACAGCTCGATGGAAAGCTGTTAGATAATGCTTCCGCATACAGAAGAATGGTTGGGAGATTAATATATTTGACCATAACTAGGCCAGACCTGACTTATGATGTACATATACTGAGCCAGTTCATGGACAAGCCATGACAACTGCATTTGGAGGCAGCCCACAAAGTGCTTAAGTACATTAAGCGAACACCATGTCAAGGCATCCTACTGCCATCTACAGGGTCACTCCAATTGCGGGCATTCTGTGATGCCGATTGGGCACGTTGTAAAGACACAAGGAGATCAATCATGGGATACTGCATCTTACTTAGGCAAGCACCGGTCTCTTAGAAGACTAAGAAACAAACAACGGTATCACGTTCGAGTGCGGAGGCCGAGTATCGTTCCATGGCTACCACTTGCTGCAAAGTTACATGGTTGAAGAACATTTTGAAGGATTTGGGAATTGATCACACGCAGCCAGTAGCCTTGTTTTGTGACAATCAGGCGGCTATACACATAGCATCGAATCCGGTGTTTCATGAGAGAACCAAACACATAGAGATAGACTGCCATCTGGTTCGAGAGAAAATACAAGAATGGACGATTCAGACAGCTCACATTCGAACCACAAATCAGTCGGCAGATTTGTTCACTAAGCCATTAAGCTCGACACAGTTTGAAGTGCTACTTAGCAAGTTGGATGTCATAAATATACACTCCAACTTGAGGGGGAGTGTTAAAGAAGATCGAGCTTATAATGGAATGTTGACTTTGTTTATATTGTAAATAATTCCTTTCCTTATTTGTGAATGATTTAGCTTGATCGTAGGAACCATATTTAAACTTTCTTGTAACTATAAGTTGGTAGGATTTGCCTCTTGAATAATATAAATTAAATATCATTTTCTCACAGTGACCATATCTTAAACCAAGCTTGGAAAGAATTTTGCACCAAATAATTCATCCAATAAATCATCAATCAAAGATTTTGGATACTAGTATTTAATAGTAAGTTGAATCCAATTCCCTATAATACATACACAATCTCTACGTCCCTTCTTTCTTTTTGACAAGTAACACAGGAAATGAGAAAGGAATATGACTTGGTCGAATAAAACCTGACTACAACAACTCATGTACAGTTTTTTCAATGTCAGTTTTTTGCCAAGATCCATAGTGATAATGCCTGATGATACGTTTAGGTTGAAACATGATGGGCAATGTTGTTTTTGTTGGAGCAATATTAGAAAATATGAAAATAACACAAGAATTCCAATGATAATAATCATAAAGAAAATAACAACATCAATAGTATACAAGATTAATATATACAACTAGAGATATAGTTAGAAAAACTGACGAACTTGGAGATTGAGGCTTGCATAAATGCAATGTCCTAAAGATAGAATTTCGCCCATACTCTTGTGCTTGTAGTTCGATAGGCGTCCATCTCCCAGGATTCAACAATCTATAATCCAAAGTCAAATCACTTCAATCTTCGGACTCTGGCGAACTTTATATATTCCGTACTCTCAAGACACAACTCGGAATTTGACACACGAAGCATGACAGAAACAAAGTGGGTAAACCCTATTTCTCAAGAGTAAAAATTAACTCTAATTTTCTATATTTAATACCAATGGTTTCATGGGTTTATATAGAATCTAATTTCTACTTATCAAAGAGATGTAACTTTTCATCTATAAGTATACATCACTTATCAAGGGAATGCACCTAAACAACATAACCTTTCTAAGAAATTGGTTAACAACATTTTTCATTCAATTATTAAAATTATATATTACAATATTTCATATCATAATATATAATTTCCAACAGTTTTTGGAAGCTTCAATACATATAACAAATTGCACATATATCCGCTAGCATATGACATCAAGTTAGATCTTCACTTGATTACATTTTAGTGCAAATGGGAGATTATTGGATGTATGCCTTAAAAGCAATCAAGATTAGTGGTTTTGTTTAAGGTAATACAGTAGGCAAGATCACTATAGGCAGATAACCAATGTAATCTCATTAGTGAGTCCATGGTACAGTTATATGCATATGTAAGAAGTAACTTTTGAGATAATGTTACGGAGACCTTTTTTATATGTGTTTATCCTAAACTTGTTCTTGGTCGTTGGATTCTTTGAGTGGTTATCTTATAATCCGATCTCTGCACAATTGTAGGATGGGATGCATGGCCAGTTTCAAGTCATTAGCGAGAGTCGATAAGATAAGTGTGTAAATGCTTAATAATGATTAAATTCACTAAATGTGATCAAGTCTCGAGATCTTATGTGTATATACTAGATACATGCTCATGTCAATAAGAACTCAGTTGTTGCAATAATGCAAATTGGTCCTTGGACTTGGGGCATTGCAATTGTCTTGTGATTAGGTATTTTATCTTAGATTATGTTAACGGCACTTTGATATGAGAGGGTATCCATGACATAGTTGAGATTAGGCTGCGTAATCATGGAGGCAAGTGAATGTACAAAAAAGAATCTCTAACCTTCATAATTGAAGGAGAATGTTCATCGACAAGATTTAGAATTTCTTTGGTCAAAACATTGTGATTTGGAATAATGTTCCAAATTTATCAAGTTGTTCACTTAGGTACTTTACATAATTTAGCCTAATCAATGCAATCGAGAGCATTGTATTAGAGAAGGACCGTATTACATTGTAATTGCAACAAAATAGGATCTCTCGTAAATACTACATTGACTTAGGGACCATGACATGCAGCTAGGTGTCCCCCATGGTCTATGCAATCCTATAAGACAATAGTTTTTGTCTTCATAAAGAGGTGGATTAAAAGGAGTTTCAAATCCGTCAAAATATTTGAGGAGTCTAATTCATCTCACAACCTCGTCAACGAGAACTTAATAAGATTGCACAACCTATGCTAGAATACTAGACCAAGGTATCACAATGTGATGAAATAATCAATTGGATTGATTAAGATGGAGGAAATAATATTCTATTTATTTAATTAATTATTATGATGGTTGTACATCTAAAATAGTCCTTGAAAGAGTTTCGGGAGTTGCGGAGATTCATAGGGCCCAAACTCATTGTCACCTTAGTTCTAAAGATGAACTACGACAGTTTGATCTTCGTTGGAGACAAAGTATACGTAGGCAACCAATGCAAGCGCTGAATAGGTACAACTGAAAGTTTTGTACTAAGGGTGTTCAATGGGTCTTGAGCATGAAGCATGCAAAGGAAGGATGATGGCCCTCCCTTAGGGTGAACAACCTTGATAAAAATCAAGGTAGTGATATAAGAGGTATAAACTAAATTTCCTTGAAATTGCATGTGGTAATCTATCAAAGCAATGAGTTACAAACATCCATTATTTTCAAGCTTTGGAGTGCTTGCAATGCTCCCACTTTTAGTTTCTAACTATGTCTTTTCCATTAGTTAAGTAGATTTTACGTAGCTACATTCACATTGAAATAAGAGAAATAAATCAGTAATCTTAATTTTTTAAGGAACTCAAAAATATTTCCCAACTTGCTTGTTTTCCTTGCATAAAAAATTATAAGCATAGAGGGGAATGAATATTTCCCATCAAATAATTCAAAAACCAATAATAAAGTTTTTTAAATAAATTTTGTGGTTAATGTGTATTTGCATCAGAAAATCATACCTTGAATATCATACAACAAACATGGCTCTGAAAGGAGCCCACTTCAAGCACGATGGAACTTTGATGCAACTGTCCCATCATGCCACCTATAGAAAATACCAATTGATAAGAGTCAATATTCGATATGTTTATCTCACAGTTATTTGATTTAAACCGATTCTTTTCATAAGGTTCATCACATAAGGGGTTTTTGCGAAATCCAAGCAATTAAGCTACTGGTAGGATTCGGAGATAAATCCCGAAACGCTATGCAATTCAATGACAACTGAAAGGGCTGAAAGGGAAGTAGTGGTACCGGTGATATTAGGATACAATCAGAAAGCATTGAAATGCTTAGCTTTTAGTCTAACAGTCTTTTCTTCTTTAGAGAAGAGAGGCAGAGGAAGGCAATAGGAATAGTCTGACAGAATTTTCTATAAATTAGATTTGCGAATGAATGTTGGGTTGGGCCACTTCACAACAGTCGCTTGCTCTCACTCTAGGTTCTAAGTTTTATAACACACACACCAATATTATTACTTCAAATAACTATTAATTAAGAAGAATAAGAAACTACATATATATATATATATATATATATGTGTGTGTGTGAACAATGGCAGCCAAGGTTCTAAAAAACGCTAGGCCCTAGTCGGGCGATGGGTTAGCGCCTAGCGCCTAGGTGCTTAGGTACCTAGGCGGGATCTAGGCGGCCTAGATGAATTTAGGTAAATTTTTTATATATTATATGAATTAATTAAATTTACTATATCAGATGTAAATAATTATTGAATAATATGTTATTTCTTATAGAAGAACATACATATGTGAATGTTTTATGTACATATCTAATATGCTTGCCTAGGAAAAAAAAAACAAAATATTATCTAAATGATTTATAATTTATAATTTATATAACATTTATATACATATAATATACATCCCAAACTTTTAAAACTATAAAAAACCCACGCAAGTGGGTGGTTTCATATTTAAAACCATCTGATGAGTGGATGGTTTCATAATTAAAACCACTCTTTCACATCACCCAAGAACCCTTACCATCTGACTCTTTCACATCACCTAAGAACCCATCACCAGCTTTTGAATTTCGTTTCTTCTTCTTTACCCTTTCAGAACCTAATCTTTTAGTCTCTTTCTCTCGTTCTCTATCTCTCTCTCTCTTGGCGCTCTCTTCCCTTATGCCTCATCTTCGTTCTTCTTCTTCGGCCTTTCACTTTCAGAACCTCAAAATTGGATCTCAAATCCAACTTGCGCCACCACAGATTGAAATGTTTAATACTCTCTCTCTCTCTTCCCTCATCTTCACAAAGACGTAGAAATTCGCCGGAGCTCTGCTGCTATGTACGAGATCGGAAATTGTAGATCCGGTAGCAAAAATTGCAGCGAGATTCAAACCGCCTAGACCGCCACCTAGCCCGCCTCAGGCGCCTAGTGAGCGCCTTGGCGGCCGCCTAAGTCCTCCCCGCCTAATTGAACGTTTTGGTCTAAATCGGGTCGGAGCTCCGCCGTCCAGCACCTTGGCGCCACCTAGGCCCATTTTTAGAACACTGATGGCAGCAGATATGGATGTTAGTAATGGTGGAGATTAAACTCCCAACAGATCAAATAGGTGAAAGAGAGAGGAAGCAACATGGGTCATACATGAATATGTACAGTTTTCCTTCTTCAACTAAAGCATTTAAATTCCTCTAATCTTCACCTTTCATAACCATAAAAACAACAATCCCAGATTTAGGGTTGAACAACCAATCATGGATATCCCACATCAAATCCAAATAAGAGGAATAAACAACTTAAAAAGCAATAACATTGCTACTTGCTAGTCTTCCTACATTATCTAAGAATACAATTAATTAAATAGATATAGGGTCACATTGACCATAAAGAATTACATGCAACTCAAAAACTAAAAATAAGAGAGTGACTTGGCGGAAAACTCGAAATCCCTCACCGAAAAAACTCAATGCGCAATTAGATCATCAGGTTTCATGTCATATTGTTTTTCGTTTAAAAAAACCTTCTCGCAGTTTGTCGTTCAAAAAAGCCTACTCAAGTAAAAATTAACATTAGTAAGTTATAGCAGCAGAAAGTATAATTATCATCGGGTTTCATGTCATATTGTTTTTCGTTTAAGAAAACCTTCTTGCACTTTGTCGTTCAAAAAATCCTACTTGAAGTAAACATTAACATTAGTAAGTTATAGCAGCAAAAAGTATAATTAGGACATTAAATTCGACATAACATAAAACATAATTTAACTAATATACACATAACTCATTAAATTAATTACCACATCAAACTTGAGAGTCCAACAGGGCTAAATGTGTCAAAACCTTCTTCATATTCAACTTCAATTGTCTGAAAATACCAAAAAGCAGAGCAAGAATATAATTTCATCAAATTTGCTTACCCAAGGATAAGTTAAAATTGGAAAATAATCAAACCTTAGAAGCTATGGATTCTTAAGCACCATGCAAATTACAAATTAAACCAAAAGTACAACTAAAAAAAGGAAACATCAATTATCTAGATATATAAAATTATCATATGAATTACTCTCCACTAATTGTATGTTCCATTTGAGTAAAGCAACTAATGCAGTTTTAGGCTCATCGTCCCTATGCATTAACCTAGAAAAAAATCTAACTTCAAATTGTAATTCAAAATTGACCCAGAAAAAAAAAAAAAAAAACAACAACAACTTCAAATCAAATTTCCACAAATTAAATTCAAAAAAATCCCATCAGAGAAAATCAAATGCTAAATCCAAAACCTGCATTCTCATAAAAATAAAAAAGTACAAAATCTCTAAAAAGAAAAACCCAGAAAAGTAAAAACAACTTGAATACCAGAGAATGTGTGGAGCCGATGAGTCAGTGGTGGTGGCAGTTGACATCGCGCGAGTTGTTCTCGGTTGCTATAAGTTGACTCAGAGCGGATTCGTCGGGTTTTTTGGTGGCGGTCCACCACGGGCTCTCATACTCGGCCATCTTCGTTTGCAGGCGAGAAAGAAAGCTCTCTAGATTTTGTGAACTCGAGGCCTAAAATGAAGGCCATGGTTAAGAGAAGTTGGATAAGTGACGGCTAGGGTTCAGAGAAATTGAACGGCTAGAGTTTTTTTTTTTTTTTTATAGAGAAAATGAAATAAATGAGATGTGAGAGATAAAAGTCTCTCGAATTTGAGAGAAATGAGAGAGAAACGGCTCGTCTGTGTGAAGAAGGCCAGACGGAGTGAAAAGCAAAAGAAAAATCCAGAAGAAATGAAGCCAGATGACGCATCGATGGAGGACAGGTGGAGTGGAATGGTATAAACATCTTTTTACTGTGGAAAAAAGAAGGCAAGACAACTGTAAAGCATGAGAATGCGAGGGTATTTTTGATATTTTACTGTTCATTAACAGTGCAAAACAATACCTGAGAATCATGTTTTAGTATATGTATAATTTTTAATTTGCATGCACTTTGTTGGCCAAAACTTGATCAGGATCCAAACTCAGTTGTTAATATATTTTTGGGTTAATCTCACTTTACAATCCTGAAATTTCTTGGTTTTTAACATTTGGTACATTTAAGTTTTTTTATCCCAGAGTGGTACCTGAAGTCATAATTTTGAGACACTCTCATACATTCATTAAGGTTGATGTTAAATCAGCTGTTAACTGGTGACGTGGCATCCACATAGATAATGATTGGGTGCCACGTGTACATGTGGGGGCCCACGTGGATATTAAAAAATTAAAAATTAAAAAAATAAAAATAAATTTGGCCGTCTCATACCTCCCCCCAACCTTCCCTCCCTTTGTTCTCTTCTCTATGCCTACCCACCCAATCCTCATTTCCTCTTTTACTCCCCGCACATCTACCCTTCCCCTTCCCCATTCGACTCCACCTACCCACTCATTCCCTCCCTTTCTTCTCTTGTCTACCCACCCACCCAACCCTCACTTCCTCTTCTACTCCTCGCACATCCACCCTTCTCCCTCCCTCTTCGACTCCACCCACCCAACCTTTCTCTCCTCTTCAACAACCCCACATACCAAATTTGACCCAAACCATAAATTTGAGTATGTCTCATCGCTATCCTCAAGACCCCCAATTTCCAATTCGGTCGCAACCAGATCTGACAGTGGACCCAAATTGATGACTTAGTTAGTCTTGGGCTGCTGCTCCGATCTAATTTATGGTTAGGGTACTCTTTTCATTTTAGGGCAATGACTTTTTTTGCAGTGGAAGCAGCGGCGGTCATTTAGCTGCTAGAAGTTAGAGTTTTTGCTGTTGCTTTTTATTGTTGCCTACATCAATTTTCAATTTCAGGGACCATTTTGATGTCATGGGTCAATTTCAAGGATCATTTGTGAGAAAAAAAAAAGACTTATGGGCCCCATTTATGTGCCACATCAGCACTTAATAGAATTTTTAACAGAATTGTGACGGAATGACCACCTTGATTTGCGACACCTATTTTCAAGGACTACATTGATTGATTTTCAATTTCAAGGATCATCTTGATGGTGAAGGTCAATTTCAAGGACTATTTGTGATAAAAGCCCTCTCAACATTAATCTGGTCATGAACCTTTTGTATTGTTTGTTTGCTTTCCTAATTATGTGGGTAAATGGTGGTTTCGCAAGTTATATATTTTAAAGTAACGATAACAATACTAAATTATCGTAACTATAAATGCCATGAGTCATGAGTTGATGAGGAGAGATTTTTCAATGTACCTGAAATGCGAAGTGGTACATCAATGTACAAGTAGTGAGATACTTGTGTTAAAAAATTAACAACTGAAAAAATAAAACTTCCCTTCACTTATATACTGACACGTGGGTGTACTACCTGTATTCCAGACATAATGAAAATTTCTTGTTGTTGAGGGGGTAGAGTAGGAGAGATGGAAGACCACGTGTTATTCTACAACTGGAGGGACACTTGAAAAAAGAAAAAAAAAACCTTACTTCTAATTATATAATGACATGTGGTGTTCCGCTCGGTGTTCTACGCATTGAAAATTTTCTAGTATAGTAGACAAAACATTTCCCAAACGCACAACTTTAATTGAGGAACCAGCTGCTCATAAGCCATCATGCACAAAGAGCCTACTGCTTTCTGTTGTCAATCTTAAGCTAATGGATGCTAACACAAATCAAAGGCCCAAAGCTAGCATATGAACAAGCAAAAAATGGGCCAAAGAAAAATAAACAAAAGCACAGCTCAAGCAACAGTTTGAGCCCATAACAGAAAACAACAGTCTGTGAAATCGACTGCAGCCACTGCTGCAACATTCCAACACGATCCGTCTTATTCCACTCCTCCAACCTCACGTCAGCTCGTCGATTGTAACATCCAACTCCAAGCACCACTAGGTGCACAGCCTCAATTGAAAAAATAAAAATAAAAAATAAAAAATCCAACAACCAGATGAAGAAGTCCAGCTGTCAGAAGAAAGAAGCACATGAGAACCCACGGACAACAGTGCCGGTGAAGGTAAACAGAGATGAGAAGGTGGTGGTGTTAGGAACACCCGAGCCTGTGCAAGCACCGAAGCTCTACACACCATCTCGGTAAAGCAGGATTGCATATAGGAGTAAGGATGAATGAAGAAGAAGGACGCATGTGGGATGAGAAGAAAAGGGCAAATCGAAACAGAGAGTAAGGGAAAACGCAACGAAGGGTGGAAAATGAGACAATGAGAGGAAGGGGAGAAGGGCTAACTGGCCCCAGCCAAAGCAAGGGTCGACGCCACCAGATCTGTGTAAATTTGAAGCTCTCACACAGACAGTGAGAAGAACTCTCAAACTGAGAGAAAGTCTCTCACAAGGAGAGAAAAGTCTCTTAAGTCTCTTAAAGTCTCCAATGCAATGCACTTTTTAACGTAACTAATTCTTCAGACTTTATTATAATATATTATTTTTGTATCCCCGTACCCTCCGGGTGTGTGTGTGTGTGTGTGTGTGTGTCTATATATATATATATATATATATATATATATATATAGGAAACCTTGGAAGAAATCCCCATTTTTTTTTTTATAAAAATGAGGATTACTTGTAGGGTTCACACCACATCGAACTTTAACGAACCAAACTATCTATTTTTCAAGTTGCACCTCATAGATCATCCTTGCAAAATATTAGCCAAATCCGAAATGTTTAAGACATCTAATTGAGTTCAAAGAAATTAACAAATACTTTGTTATATAACAAACAATAAAATTTTATCTTGATAATTAAATAGACAAATAATTTCAGATTGAATTGAATTTTTGTAAGGAAAATCTATGAATCGAGACTTACAAAATGAACGGTTCGGATCATTAAAGTTCGATATAGAGTGGGCCTCACACCTAATCTCTATTTTTTGAAAAAAAAAATTAAGAATCCCTTTACATAAAGAGCCTGTATAATATACATACACACACAGATATATACAAGCTTGCATGCATATGTATTGTAGTTATTCTCTTATATAATCCCAGAATTACTGACCATTAAACTTTGGAACTAATATATGGCAAGAGAGCAGAATGAGCTATTTTAAGCAGAGATTGAAAACTGGGGCATTGATTCGAATCCAAATTCCGCCGCAGGATCATTCTTTGTCTCCGTGAAGGTTCGGCAAGGGTTGCCAGATTTTGTTGGTTCGGTTAATCTAAAGTATGTGAAGCTTGGTTACAGTTATCTCATCAGGCATATGTTGTGCTAGAGCATCAAATGGAACAAATAAAATGAAAGAAATAACTCACAATTTATTAATTGATTGGGGTAACAAATGTACACTGAGGATCTAACAAATTTGGCTCACACAAATTATTTCTACGCGAGCTCATTTTATTACAAAACAAATGGTTTCCCTTCTAGTACGTAAAGCCATAAATGTAGTTTGTGAAGGAGAGAAAAACAAGGATAACCAATACAAAGTAATTGACCAAGGTTTCTATCGAGCCACATGTCAACAATCTCCACCTTGACAAGATTCATAATCACAAACATATTCAGGCACATAGTATATGAGCTATGTTCAAACAATGCTTAAACTTGGCAAGTCCGAGCGCTTTTGTTAACATATCAGCTGGGTTATCCGCAGTTGGAACTTTCTGAAGAATAATCTTTCTTTTGGACAAAATCTCACGAATAAAATGAAACCAAACATCGATATACTTTGTCCTCGAATGATAAACTTGGTATTTAGACAAGTGAATAGCACTTTGACTATCACAATGTAGCTCCACTTGCTTTTGATAAATTCCTATAGTCTTTATCAGTCCATGTATCCAAACGGTCTCCTTTACAATTTCTGCAATAGCCATATATTCGGCATCCATTATACAAAGCGAATGTGGACTGTAATGCGGACCTCCAACTAATTGGCCATTTGGCCATAGTAAATAAGTAGCCAGTAGTTGATCTTCTTTTATCCAAATGTCTAGTGTAGTCAGAATCAACATATCCAACCACAAAATTCTCAAAATTACTATCACTTCGCTGAAAACATAAGCCGACATCTCTAGTCTCATCTTAGAATCCACTTAGCTACTTGCCAATGTTCTTTTCCTGGATTATGCATATAGTGACTAACCAAACCAACGGCATGAGCAATATCTAGTCAAGAACATAACATAATATACATCAAGCCACCAACCAAATTAGAATATAGAATATTCTTCATCTGCAGCTTATCTTCATTGTTTTTCAGAGATAACAAAGCACTCAACTTAAAGTAAAGAGCCATTGGAGTACTTACAGGTTTGGTGGCATCATTAACACCAAAACGTTGAAGCAATTTACATAGATATTGTTTTTTGTGTGAGATACACCAACCTTTTTCTCGATTACGAGTAATTCCTTACCGAGTATCTTTTTCGCTTCACCAAGATCTTTCATCTCAAACTTGTTCTTCATCTGTGCTTTCAACTTTTCAATCTCCTTAACATTCTTCGATGCAATTAACATATTATCAACATACAATAATAAATAAATGAAATACCCATCTTGCAACTTTTTGATATAAACTCAATGATCATACTGACTTCTTAAATAGTGTTGACCTCTCATAAATTCGTCAAACTTCAAATACCACTGTCTTGGAGATTACTTCAATCCATACAAAGACTTCTTCAATTTACAAACCCCTTTCTCTTTTCCAATTACCTGATACCCATCAGGTTGAGACATGTAAATTTCTTCATCAAGATCTCCATGTAAGAAAGTTGTCTTAACATCAAGTTGCACTAGTTCAAGATCAAATTGTGCAACGAAGGCCAACATAATATGAATAGATGATTGTTTCACAACAGGAGAAATACTTCATTATAATCAATACATTCCTTTTGTGCATATCCTTTTGCTACCACTCGTGCTTTGAATCTCACATTGTCTTCTCCTGGACGACCTTCTTTTTTAGTATACACCCACTTGCAGCCAATAACTATCTTGCTGGGAGGCAATTGAACTAACTCCCAAGTGTTGTTCTTCACAAGAGAATTCATTTCTTCATCCATAGCCTTACCACAATCTATATTTTCAAAGCTATTCATGGCTTCCTTATAACTTTTTGGGCTTTCTGCATTAATAATAGGAAGAGTATAAGCAACATAATCACTATATCTTACTGGTCTCTTTATGTTTCTTTTGCCTTTGCTTGTAGCAATGCACTTTATAACTGGAAGCTGTTGGGTACGAGCCTTTTCTTCATCCTGGGAAGAGACATCTTCATCTTCTTGACCTTCATTTACTTCTTGTTCAATCAAAACAGGCAGTGGAGTAATGGTAGCAATCTTTTCAAAGTCCACCTCCTGAAAACTTCTCTTAGGAACTTGAGTTGTATCAACGCTTGTCTTTGAGTTGCTTTGTAACATAGAAGTTTCGTCAAAAGTCACATCTATGCTAATTACAAGTTTCTTCAAATCTGGACACTACAAACGGTAATCTTTGACATCGCTATTAAGGCCCACAAAAATAGCCTTCTTGGCTCTCGGATCAAGCTTACTTTGAGTCACATGGAAATAAATGGGACAACCAAAAATATGAAGAAAATAATAATTAGAAGCTCATTTTCCAGTCCACTTCTCAATAGGTGTTTTACCCTCAATTGCAAATGAAGGTAAACGATTAATAATGTGGCAAGCATATGTAATTACCTCTGCCCAAAATGCCTTGCTTAAACCAGATTGAGCTAGCATACATCTAACCTTTTTAAGTAACGTTATATTCAACCTTTCAACAACTCCATTTTGTTGGGGAGTTCCATGAATAGTGAAATGTGTTATTATACCTTCTTCTCTACAAACTCTGCAAAATTGATAAAAGGTGTATTCACCAAGATTATCTGACCTCAAAACTTTAATTTTCTTACCAATTTGGTTTTCAACCATTTTCTTCCAGTTTAAGAAAATATCTAACACCTCATCTTTGTGCTTCATTGTATAAACCCAAGCTCTTCTAAAGTAATCATCAACAAAAGTTACAATCCAGTGCTTACCACTTAATGAAGCAGTCTTGGTAAGACCCCAAACATATGAATGTACATAATCTAGGATTCCCTTAGTTTGATGCACAAAAATACCAAATTTAACTCTGGTTTGCTTACTCAAGATACAATGCTTGCAGAAGTCGAGCTTGCAAGTTTTGGCTCCTTTCAACAGTCCCTGTTTTCACAAGGGATTGAAGAGCTTTTTCACCAGCATGTCCAAGTCTCATATGCCATAACTTGGTATTGTCAGTAACTGGTTTTAAAAAAATTGTGGTTGCACCACCTAAAACTATTTTCCCCTACAGGAAATATATATTTTGCTTTCGGATTCCCTTCATCGTAACCAAAGCACCTTTAGTAACTTTCAAAACACCATTTGACATATTTACATTAAATCCATTGCTTTCCAAGGCACCCAAAGAAATTAAATTTTTCTTCAAAGCAAGAACATACCACACATAGGCTACTCTCTAATGATGCCATTAAGGTGTTTCAACTTATCTGCTCTTACTCCCTTTTTATCACATGCATAATCATTACCCAATAAAACAGTTCCCACCTTTACAACTTCTAGATTAGTAAACCAATCTCGATTTGGACACACGATGAGAACAACCAGAATCCAAAATCAATACATCAGAATCACAAGTAGAAGTAACAGCCAAAGCATAATAAGATTTATCATCACTAAGTGCAACATTAGCATTGGTGTTTCTGTTATTCTTCTGCAACTTAGGGAAATCCTTTATCCAATGTCCCTTTGTATGACAAAATGCATATTCATCTTTGTCTAATGTTTTTCTATTTTGTGAATTACCTTGTGGTCGAGACTGAGATCTTCTTATGTTATTGAATCTCCGTCTTTCATTCAATCTCTAACAAACAAAGCATATGATGTTGTATTATGGACTTGCTTATCTTTATGTCTAACTTCATGGTTTATCAATGCATTAGACACATCTTCAAAATTTATGGTGTCTTTACTATAAATTAAAGTAGTAGCTAAATAATCATATGCCTCAGGTAATGAATTTAACAAAATCAAGGCTTTATCATCATCCTTGACATCTTCATCTAAATTTAACAAATCAGTGATTAATTTGTTAAATGAATCGAGGTGTGTAATCATTTTCATACCTTCTTTGTACTGGAACCGATACAACTACTTTTTCAAATGGATGCGATTTTCGATGCTCTTTGTCATGTACTTATCCTCCAATTTCTGCCATAGCGACTTAGCTGACGTTTCTTGCATGACAAGATACTTTTGAGGCTTTGAAGACATAAACGAATCGTAGAGCAAGTCATTCAATTTAACTTATTCCACTCAGCTTCTTCCATATCCTCCAGCTTGTCTTTTAACGTCAGGTCCAAATCTAGTTGAGCCAACACTTCTTTAACCTCACATTGCCACATACAAAGTTATTTGTTCCGTCGAACTTTTCAACTTCAAACTGTGCATTTTGAATTGTCGTTTTTGCCAAACGCGAAGCATGTGATTCCGGCAAAGGATGCACGCCTCCCAATTCTGATTGATCACTCATCTTCGTCAAACATGTTTCAAATACAAACTTTGATACGAATGAGCCTAGTGGCTCTGATACCAATTGTTGTGCTAGAGCACCAAATTGAACAAATAAAATGAAAGAAATAACTCACAATTTATAAACTGATTGAGGTAACAAATGTACAAAAGAGAATCTTACAAATTTGGCTCACACAAATTATTTCTACGTGAGCTCCTTGTATTACAAAACAAATGGTTTCCCTTCTAGTACGTAAAGTCATAAATGTAGTTTGTGATGGAGAGAAAAACAAGAATAACCAATACAAAGTAATTGACCAAGGTTTATATCAAACCACGTGTCAACAGCATAGGCTCTACTTGTGCACTGCACCACTTCTGATTGTTCTCGAGTAGTACTAGTACTGCTGAAATATAGAAAACCTCAAACAGATCATCATCATAGAATATTTGTTTCCAAATAATTATCCAAAATTAGAAGGTGGAAGCTCCTCCTCTTTCTTCTTCTTCTTCGTCTTGGGACCATTGGGAATATTGTTACATATTTATCTAGATTTGACGCCTCGCTGTATATATTTACGTGATTTTGCTTGCTTTCGTCCACCAAATGAACTAAAGGTAATTAATTATACATGCATGTTACATATATAGTAACAATAGCCACATTAAAACGCTGTTTGATAATTATTTTCATTTTTTTTAACACTGAAAATTAAACGAAATGATTACCAAATGATCTCTAAGTATTATAATGTACTTATACGCATACATTTATGTGTTGATGTTCAATGTTATCGATTACTTTTGAAATGTTCTTATTTCATTTCACGCTGGCTCGCGCATGCGCCACTAAATAATCAAAGATCTCAAAGGAGGGGTTCATTGAATTAGTGAGAAATTCGGGCAACTTCAACAATGCTGCCATTGATTTTCAAAAGAAAGTGCTCAAGAGTTTCGGCATAGGCGAAGATACGTACATGCCCCGAGTGGTATTCTGCCCTGATTACAAGATAAATCTGAAAGACGGAAGAGAAGAGGCAGCTATGGTGATGTTCGGGGCCATAAATGACCTTTTCGGAGCCACCAAAGTCCGGCCAAAGGACATTAGGATCCTCGTGGTGAACTGTGGAGTTCTGAATACGACTCCATCGCTGTCATCCATGGTGATAAACCATTTCAAGCTAAGGCCTAACGTACAGAGCTCCAACCTTGGTGGAATGGGTTGTGCTGCAGGAATCGTAGCCCTTGATCTTGGCAAAGACCTTTTAAATGCTTATCCTGGCTCATATGCACTGGTGGTCAGCACGGAGGCTGTGTGCTATACATGGTACGAAGGCAATGATTTCGATCTGCTCCTTTCTAATTGCTTCTTTCGAATGGGGGCTGCCGCCATGCTGCTCTCTAGCTCCCATCTCGATCGATGGCATGCCAAATATGAACTCACACAGTATACACACACACACGTACGTACAGACTCATTGATCCGTACAGATTTTTAAGATTTTAGTGATTTGATCTTAATGGCGGGCAATTGATGCAGCTGGTTCGAACTCACAGAGGCATGGATGAGAGGAGCTTCAACAGCATACATTTGAAGGAAGATGCAAAGGCCACACAAGGAGTGTCAATGAGCAAAGACGTGATTCAAGTTGGCGGCCACGCACACAAGGCCAACATCACCACTATCAGCCCCCTCGTTCTCCCCGTCAGCGAACAATTCCATTTCCTCACCAATTTGCTCTTCAGGGAGAAGAAAACTAATTACAAGCCCTACATTCCTGATTACAAGCTTGCCTTCGAGCACGTGTGAATATTGGCAACTAGCTAGAAGGTGCTCGACGAAATACAGAAGAACCTAGAGCTTACGGAGGACTACATGGAGGCATCCAGGAAAACCCTGGAGCGATTTGGAGACACTTCTAGTAGTAGTGTTTGGTACGAACTCGCTTACTTAGAGGCAACTTCAAAGATCAAGAGGGGTGGTCGGATTTGGCAGCTCACCTTCGGCTCAGGGTTCAAGTGTAACAGCGTCGTTTGGAAGGCTCTTAAGAATGTTGGGACACCCAAGCAGAGTCCATGGTTTGACGAGTTGGATTTAACTCTTATGCATGGCAGCAAGATTACAAAGAGGACAAAATGACACGTGTTTCTAGTTGTTCTAGCTTAAGGCTTAACAACCTGCAATTGTTTATCAGCATAGCTCCCACAAGTTTTAATTACTCAGCTTGATAATTTGATTCGCACAGCGCAAATGAACGTCTTAATGCCGAGTGTTGGCCTCGACGTGAGCAGAACCACGATGTGTCTGGAAACAGTAATTGATATAAACCAGGGGATGCAATGCATGCCATAATCATATACACATACACCAATAGATTCAATTCTACTCTTCTATTACTCATCCTTCAGAGTCAGAAATTCAACCAAAAAGAAACCTCAAAACCAAAATATTTTTTGACACCAATTCCTTATCTATCTTAACAAAGAAATGAAACCTGATAAATACAAAGGGCTTACTATATAATTACGGTACCTTCTCTCTCTCTCTCTCTCTCTCTCTCTCTCTCTCTCTCTCTCTCTCTCTCTCTCTCACCTTTCTTTCCTATGTTGTTATTCATAACTGTTTTCTTTTCTAATCTTTCTTCTGGGGTCAGTCCGCTGTCATTGGCTGGGTAATGCAACACCTGAACCGGGCCTTGCGAACAGTCGTCATGATTTCTGTCTCTGCATGCTCGAGCATTCTCACGACTTCAGTGAAGGATGGCCGGACATCAGGGTTTGCATCCCAACATCTCGTCATGATCTCACAAAGAACAGGTAAGCAGTCATTTGGAATGATAGGGCGGACACCCTTGACAACTGCAAATGCTGCCTGTACCGCTGTCATGTTCTGGAATGGAAGCATCCCTGTTATAAGTTCCCAAAGAACAATCCCAAAGCTATAAACGTCAACTTTCTGTGTGTAATGCCTATGCTGGATCATCTCCCTGCACACAACCAATCAAAGAATGCAATTAAGAAGCCCACACGAAAATACTTATAGGTGCATCCATGCCAACAATGTATGTATTGAGGAAACTCTAAACATCCTGCCATGCTATAGTTGCAAACGAGCACAGAAGCTGGTAATAATTGCCAAGATATAAATAAATAAAATAAATAATCAATGGTGCAATAATACCCATAGTTCATATGATACACTTTAAGGGCATACAACATGCCAAACAAAATAAAAAATGAAGTAGATAGTTAACAGGTGCTAGTTCTATAGCTACTAATAGCTAACGTCTTCAAATGGGAGACGCTTTTAGCCCTGCAGGAACATGACTTATCTTAATTAAAATATGTAGGTAAAAAAATTATTAGGAAGAAGGGAAAAAGATTATAAGAATAAACCATTATGGAATTTGACATCAATTGTAGATTACATCATATGCAAACACAAGACGAGTTAGAGCACTTGATCTACCTTCAAATTATAAAATCAATATCTAAAAATTTCAAACAGTGCATCACATATTATCCATATAACGATAGACTACAGAGTCAAATTACTTTTCCAACATCTGCGTATAGGCTCCAGAGTCAAATTACTTGACCCCAACTTCATATCCACATTGTCACGCCTACTACAGTCATAATCCATTCAATAGATCAGTAAGTTACCACTAGCACAACCACACATGCATCGTATGGGTCTCCGATACAACTCAGAGCAAGTTTTCGAGGACGGTTGTAACACATGCCCTCCTGTGCTAAGAGAAGTACCCAAAGTTCAACCATGCAACCTTTCCCAGAAGTGATGACAACAGTATGAGCCATTGAGCTTAGTATCCTTCCTGAATTCAACCGATGATCCTCATACCTCTTTTCAAACAGTGCATGATACCATCAGACTTCCATGCATGAACTCCATCCCCCAATGTTATTCTTACTTGCTCCGGAACCAAATTATGGTTCAATTTCCATTGAGTGACTTATGAGTTGCTTGGAAAAAGTTATCCTAGGCTGATTCCTTTTCTTTTTTCTAGGGGGGCGGGGATGCAGAGAGGTTTTGAATGAAATTTGAGATATGTGAAATTATTTTGTTCACAACAGACAGCAATGAATCATGGGCTGAGTGAAAGTCTCTTGGTTACTGTCAAACACAGTATGTTCTTTACAGTATACGTGTTTTCACATGTCCTAAATTAGACCAAATCTTACTGTAGTATCATTAATATCAAAGGGTTGTTGAAGCAAGTAAATTGCTGCCTGGATATTGTTGTACAAGTATTTAGTTTAACAAGGTAAAAGCAGCAGAGAAACAAACACATACAAGTCAATGTCCTTCATTTCAAATTCAAACACAAATTTATTTTTCCAAAACAAAAAAGAAAACAAAGAACCTAAATGTATTGCGCATTATGGAACAAGAGAAGAACGTCATATATGATTGAAATTATTATAAGCAGATATTGGAAAATGGCAAATTCATTAATTTTTTTTTTAACATTCCAAAAATAGTTCAATGCTGATTTTACTCATTTGGAGAAGTACTCTCTAATATAAGTAAACTCAAGAACATCACAAACATAAAGACAACTAAATCTCAAGAAATGCAAGCAAAATATTAACTATTCATCCACCAACAAGGGAAGCCAAGAGTGGACACAAGTATAACTTTTTCTTGTTTCAAACAGGGAATAGTAAATATACAGTAACAAAAAAGGGATAACATGAAAAAATCAATTAAAGACAATAATGATATACTTTGTGGCGGTAAATTAAATAAAATACTGAAATAATCATAGTACAGTACTGGGTTCTTTTTAAGTATGCAAAAAGAAAGATTATCCTCATAATTAAGAGTTTGCAATGTATAAGAGGTTAAGGTTAGTTGGGGGAAAGACAAAGTGGTAGATACCAAATGAACCTGACATTTTCATAGTGTATAGGAGCAAAACCAACATGATGGTAGAAGAATATATGAAAATTTTCATCTACTTAGATTCTTTTTCCCTTTCTAGCGTTTACACGGAAACATACTCATACCACCAATTAGATTTGAACCCGAAACTACATACTCATTATGTGAAGAGAGTTCCTAGGATCCTAGGATGATTTTCTTAGACAACCTGATGTAGGACAAAATAGAGGTTGATTAAAGTGGCAAAAATTAGAGAAAAGACAATGGTGGACAATTGGCAAGAGACAACGCAAGAAAATTCACGTTCAACCTTAAAGTATTTTGTGATAAAATATGGAAAGAGCGTATCATTGGAATATTCGGGTTGCTTGAATAGGTTTTAGGAATCGTTGGAATTTCAGCCAATGATAGAAAACTTTGTAGGTAAATCTTTTTGCTTATGTTCTGTAATGTACAATTCCACTTTTTGAAATGCTATACACTATATGCTTTCTTTTTTCTTTTTTTTTTTCTAAGACCGGAAAATTAATAAAAAAAAGTTGCAAGGAAAATCAGATACGGGGTACATGTCTACAAGAAACAACGACAAAAGAACAAGGCAGAAAAGACACCAAATATCAGTAACGGAAAGCTAACGCTTATTTATATCTGCAAGAAAATAAGTACACTAGCTGTAAGAAATTCATATAACTGCCATATACTGCAATAAATCTTGTCTAAGAAAGACCAGACTGAGAATTGAGAATTCAATAGAAGATGATAAAGCCAAAAAAAGCCATGAAATGTGCCCACAGATAAAATAAAGCAGATGAGCCAACGATAGAAACAATGGATAAGATATTTCAGCTAAAGCGTTAGAAGTCTTACGGCGCCATCCAGCGGTATGTCCCAGTCTCCGGAGTCATTCCTTCCGTCTGCACTTCAATACGAGCAACTCCAAAATCAGCAATTTTTATAGATTTGTCAGAAGAAATCAACAGGTTGTCAGATTTCAAGTCCCTATGAATCAGACTGAGCCCATGAACATAAGCAAACCCCCTTGCAACATCTAATGCTTGCTTGACCGCTAATTTCAATGGAACTGATTGGCTCCGCCGCTTCGCCAAGAACTGCCTAACTGAACCCCCCTTAGCATACTCTGTTACAATGCACCAAACCATTGGTTTACGGCAAGCACCGATGAAACGAACTATGTTTGGATGCTTCAAATTAGCCAGCATCTTGACTTCCTGTTGAAACTGCTGCTCCATCACCTGAGCCTTTTCTGGGTCATTTTCCGGACTCTCCAAAAGTTTGATAGCAACATCTTCACCATTGTAGGTACCTCTGTATAGCTTCCCAAAAGCACCTTGTGCAAAAGCTTCACCCATGTTTAGCTTTCTTAAGTCAATTGTCCACTCTTCATAATTCTCAAGCCCTTCTGTCAAGGAATGGCTGTCAAGTAGAGCTTGAGCAAGCTGATCATTACTCAGAGCATGTGTGACTCTTCCTCGGTGGTTAACACTCTGTTGCACGGAGTAGTTATCCTTAGTACGTCGCCGCAGCCCTTGGTGGTTCAAGATTCGAGTGTGGGAATCATTAGTATTTGAAGCAACGCTGCTGTTGTCTATAGACATGGCCACAGAGCCTCCATCATTGCTCGTTTGCATACTGTCGATGGACATGTTGGTACCCTCACCCTCATGGAGTTTGAGGTAGAATCCTTGCGACAAATCGTCATAGTTGTTATCATGGTTGTTTAGACCAACAATTCCAGTGAATTTGGCACCACCCTCCAACATTTTCTTCTCTCGGAGAAAAGCAAATTCCTCAAAGTTGCCCTACTTTTTCCACATACAAATATCAAATTTCGAACTCAATACCCCCCCTTCTCTCTTTCGAAACCCTGAAACCAAGATCAAACCACAAAATACCTTAAGTAGACGGTTTTCCAAGTTGAATCAAATGAGGAGCAAAGAGCCCATCATTGGTTTTGTTTTGGAAGTAAAACTACAGAATTCTGAGATGATTAATGTAATGTCCAATTCAATGCCATATATATGTGGAAACTACCGAAAGACAGGACAGGACTCCCTACGGCTAGCATCTAATAAGGATGAAATCCCGAAATTTAAGGGAACCGAGAATAGTAGGTTTTAGGTTGACTAAAACCACCAAATCAACTCCATCAAGAAAACATTTATGGAAATTTATTAATTGTTAAGAACAATACACCAACTGTCAACCAACATATGCGAAATCAAACAGCAGCAAACCCAAAACCAATTTAAAGAAAGAATCTGAACAGAATCGACAGCTCAGATTATTCAAATGAAAAAGGATGAGAGGAAATCACACAACATGAAAGTATTTTAAACAAAAAAAAAAAAAAAAAAGGGAAACTGATTCAGAAGCCGGCATCAAAATTCGAGGAAACCCATGTACTTGGATAATTCGAATGATGGATGATCAGATGAGAGAAGCACGTACCTCAATCAAACAAAATCGAGGGCAGCAGTCAGATGGAGGAAGATCGAATGGAATCGAGGGCGCAGGAAACAAAGACCTCTTCTTCCTCTCAGTCTCCCAAGTCGTCTTTTCTTCTCTCTCTCTCACTTTCCTTTTTTTCTATTTTTTTTTAATGACAAGAGGGTCAGCGTGCGTGTGAGCACGCACTCATTTCAAGCATTAAACTCAACTTTCTTCAAATATGTTTTCTGTCTCTCTATTTGTAATTGTATGTCCAAATATTCCATTCCTATAAAAACTACTTTAGGAAAAAGAAAAAAAAAAGTTAATTGATTGCTGGATAGAGTTAACTACTAATTTAGATGATAAATATGATCATCTCTTTATTTGGTTGTGTGTAAGGAAGTTATGTCTAGGCTTAACTTTGATATGTGCTGTTTAAAGATTAGTACATGATCTTTTATGTTGTTTTAGAAAAATGATGTCCCCTTTTTCAAATAGATAGGATGGAAAGCTAATAGAGTTTAGTTGAACTATATTTATCTTATTATTCTCTAATGTGTAGTATATGTAGGGATATAAGTATTGTTACATGATATTTTGCTGATGTGAAACAATAAGTCTATTTACAACTTAACTAACATATACATACAACTAGCAACATTTTTTGAAACTTATCAAGCGAATTGGATAACACACCACTAGACACAACCTTAGTAAGAGAGTTGGTCTTTGGGCCCCACAAAGGAAAAAGCAATAAAAAAACCTCTCATCCACTTGTGTTGTCATATAAGTTTTTTTTGGTTCAAAGTGTTATCATATAAGTTGGCGTTCAATGATGTTGATCAGTTTTGAAATGTTGTCGCTTCATTTTAAGCTGGTGCACCAAATTAATCAAAGATGACAAAGGAGGAGGAGGAGGAGTTGATTGAATTAGCGAGAAGTTGGGGCAACAAAAGCAAAGAGATGATCAAATCATGCCATAATCATTACAACATGAATCTAAAGAAAACTCAAAACAGGGGAACACAATGCATGCCATAATCATATACATGATCAGATTCAATTCTCCTCTTTTCTATTACCCATGCTTCAGCGTCAGAAACTCGCTCAACCCAAATAGAAACCTCAAAAACCAAATATTTTTTTAATACCAATTCCTTATCTATCTTAACAAATAAATGAAACCTGATAAATACACAAGGCTTACAATATAATTACCCTCTCTCTCTCTCTCTCTCTCTCTCTCTCTCTCTCCCCCCTCTTTTTCCCCTTTCCATTTCCTTTTTCCTCTTTTATCTTGCTATTCATTACTATTTTCTTTTCCAGTCTTTCTTCTGGGGTCAGTCCGCTGTCATTGGCTGGGTAATGCAACACCTGAACCGGGCCTTGCGAACAGTCGTCATGATCTCAGTCTCTGCATGCTCGAGCATTCTCACGACTTCAGTGAAGGATGGCCTCACATCAGGGTTTGCATCCCAACATCTCGTCATAATCTCACAAAGAACAGGTAAGCAGTCATTCGGAATGTTAGGGCGGACACTCTTATTAACAACTGCAAATGCTGCCTGTACTGCTGTCATGTTCTGGAATGGAAGCATCCCTGTTATAAGTTCCCAAAGAACTATCCCAAAGCTATAAACGTCAACTTTCTGTGTGTAATGCCTGTGCTGGATCATCTCCCTGCACACAGACAAACAATCAATGAGTGCAATTGTGTAGCCGCTTATAGGGGTATCCATGCCAACAACCTATGTATTAATGAAACTGATAATATCCAGCCATGATAAAGTCGCAAAACGAATTAAGTAGTTAGTTAATCGATCCTAGTTTCATAGATACTAATCGCTAATACCAACATTTTCATATGGGAGACACTTCTTGCCCCGCAGGAAAACAAATTATGTTAACTAAAATATGTAAAATCAAAATTATTATTAAAAGGGACGACCTGATAAACAATTATAACAGCAAAACCATTATGGAAGTGGACATCAATTTTAAATTCCATCACATGCAGAAAACATAAGGGTTACAGCACTTGAGCTACCTTCAGAATATAAAATTAATATCTATATATTTCAAACGGTGCATCACATATTAATCATGTAACTATAGACTCAAGAGTCAAATTATTTTCCAACACCTGAGTACACAGTAGAGACTCCAGAATCAAAATAATAGACCCCAACTTCACGTCCACATGTCACAACCATTGCAGTCATAATCCATTCAACAGTCCAATACGTTCCCAGTAACACAACCATACATGCGTCATATGTGTTTCCATCTAACCGCAAGTTTCTTTTTCCAATTTTTTTTTTTTCTAAAAAGAGGACACCATAAGAGCACAACCAAAGATGCATCACATATGTCTCCATCATCGAGAGCGGTTTTAACACATGCCCTCCTGTGGTATGAGAAGAACCCAAAGTTCAACCTAAAGAGCCGCCTTCTCCATACAACCTTTCCCACGAGTGACTACAACAGTGCCAGAAAGAGAAACAACCCAGCACCATGACCCACCAGGGAACCAGGGCAGGAACACTGACATTGTGCTTGGTATCCTTTCTGAGTTCAACCGATGGTTCTCAAACAGTGCATGATAGATTCACAATTCACCTATATTCACAACCCACTTATCCACATCAACTCAGGGTTGTAAGATACTAAGATGAATGACGCACCACAACTGCTCTTATGCATGAACTCCACGCCCCAATATTATTCTGACTTGTTCTGGAACCAAATTATGGTTCAATTTCAGTTGATTGACTTATGAGTTGCTTGGAAAAAAGTTATTCTAGGCTGGTTCTTTTCTTATTTCTGTATTTTTGGGAGGGGATGCAGAAAGGTTTTGAATGAGTTTGAGTTATGTGCAACTATTTTGTGTAACGGACAGCAATGAATCATGGTCCGACTTAAATTATCTTGGTTACTATCAAACACAGTATCTTTTTTACAGTGTACATGTTTTCACATGTCATAAATTAGATTGAGTCTCGTTATAGTATCAAAAATGCCAAAATGTTGTTGAGGCAAGCAATGCGTTGCCAGGCTATTGTTGAACAAGTATTTAGTTCAAGGAAACACTAGTAGAGACACAAGGAAAATCTTTAACAAAGAAAGATATGGTTCCGAGGAGACCCACAACGAAAATCATTGAGAGACACAAACACATATTAGTCAATGTCTTTCACTTCAAAGACGTGAATTTATGTTGTCCCGAACGAAAAAAAGAAACAAAGAACCTTAGTGTATCGCTCATTATGGAAAAAGACAAGTACTCTCCAATATAAGTTCAAGAACTTCTCTGACATAGACACTCTAAACCTAAATCTGAAGAAATGCAAGCAAAATCTGAACTATCATTCACCAACAAGAGGGGCAAAAGCGGAAGCGTGTGACTTTGGTTGTTTCATGCAACAGGGAGTGGTAAATATCTAGTAATGTACTCTCCAATAGAACTTCATGAACTTCTCTGATTTAGACGCTCTAAATCTAAATCTCAAGAAAAGCAAGCAAAATTTGAACTATTCATCCAGCAACAAGAGGGGCAAAAGCGGATGTGACTTTGTTTGTTTCATGCAACAGGGCATAGCAAATATAAAGTAACAGTGAAGGAAGAGAGAGGGGGGGGGGGCGGAGGGGATTATACAAAATATTGAAATAATCAAAGAACAGTATCAGGTTCTTTTTTAAGTATGGAAAAACAAAGATACTATCATAACTAAAAGGTTTTCATTTATAAGAGGTTAAGGATAGTTGGGGGAACGAAATGACACAAAATGAATCCCTCGTTATCATAGTGTATAGGAGGAAACCAACATGATCCTAGATGAATATATGAAAATTTTCGACTAAAAATCTATTTTGCCATTTCCATGGAAAGTACTCATCATACAACCAATTAAATATGAACCCAAAACGACATACTCATTATGTGAGAGTTGCTAGCATGATTTTCATAGACAACCCATTTCAGTCAATGTTAAAAAAAGTTGTCGGTAAATCTTTTTACTTCAATTATGTAACTTACAATTCCACATGAAACTTTTTAAAATGTTTCCAACGTGGTACATGTCTACTAACAAGCAACAAAGAGACCCAATAAATAAAAACAAAAACACGAGAAAAATAGAAGCAAAATCAGATACGGGGTACATGCCTACTAACAAGCAATGACAAAAGTCCAAAGCAGAGAACACAACAAATATTAGTAACCGAAAGCTAATGCGCATTTATATCTGCCAAACAAGAAGTATACTTAGCTGGAAGGATTTCATACAACTGTCACATACTGAAATTAAAGTTGTCTAAAAAAAGGCCAGAGTGAGAATTGAGAATTCAATAGAAGATAACATCAAGTAGATGAACCAATGATAGCAACAAAGGATAAGATATTTCAGCTAAAGATTTAGAAGTCTTACGGTGCCATCCAGCGGTATGTCCCAGTCTCTGGAGTCATTCCTTCTGTCTGCACCTCAATACGGGCAACTCCAAAATCAGCAATTTTTATAGATTTGTCAGACGAAATCAACAGGTTGTCAGATTTCAAGTCCCTGTGAATCAGACCAAGCCCATGAACATACGCAAACCCCCTCGCGACATCCAAAGCTTGCTTGACTGCTAATTTCAATGGAACTGATCGGCTCTGCCGCTTCGCCAAGAACTGCCTAACTGAACCCCCCTTAGCATACTCTGTTACAATGCACCAAACCATTGGTTTACGGCAAGCACCAATGAAACGAACTATGTTTGGATGCTTCAAATTAGCCAGCATCTTGACTTCCTGTTGAAACTGCTGCTCCATCACCTGAGCCCTTTCTGGGTCATTTTCTGGCCGCTCCAAAAGTTTGATGGCAACATCTTCTCCATTGTAGGTACCTCTGTATAGCTTCCCAAACGCACCTTGTGCAAAAGCTTCACCCATGTTTAGCTTTCTTAAGTCAATTGTCCAGTCCTCATAATCCTCAAGCCCCTCTGTCAAGGAATGGCTGTCCAATAGAGCTCGAGCCAGTTGATCATGACTTAGAGCATGTGTGACTCTTCCTCGGGGATTAACACTCTGTTGCACAGAGTAGTTATCCTTAGTACGTCGCCGCAGCCCTTGGTGGTTCAAGATTCGAGTATGGGAATCATTAGTATTTGAAGCAATGCTGCTGTTGTCTACAGACATGGCCACAGAGCCTCCGTCGTTGCTCATTTGCATACTGTCAATGGACATGTTGGTACCCTCGCCCTCCTGGAGTTTGAGGTAGAATCCTTGTGACAAATCGTCATAGTTGTTATCATGGTTGTTTAGACCAATAATTCCAGTGAATTTGGCACCGCTTTCCAACATTTTCTTCTCTCAGAGAAAAGCAAATTCCTCGAAGTTGCCCTACTTGTTCCACATACAAAATATCAAATTTCGAACTCAATACCCCCTTCTCTCTTTCGAAACCCTGAAACCAAGATCGACCCCCAAAATATCATAAGTAGACGGTTTTCCAAGTTTAATCAAATGAGGAGCAAAGAGCCCATCATTGGGTTTTGTTTTGGAAGCATAAATACAGAATTATACGATAATTACTGTAACGTCCAATTCAATACCATATATACGTGGAAACTGCACTGCAGACGACAGGACAGGACAGGACTCCCTACGACTAGCATCTAATATGGATGAAATCCCGAAATCTAAGGGAACCAAGATTAGTATGTCTTAGGTTGATTAACAACACCAAATCAACTCAATCGAGAAAAACATTTAGGGCAATATACTAATTGTTAAAAATAATACGCCAACATATGCGAAATCAAACAGCAGCAAACCCAAAACCAATTTAAAGAAAGAATCTGAACAGAACCGACAGCTCATTCAAATGAAAAGGGTTGAGAAGAAATCACACAACATGAAAGTATTCTAAACAAAAAACAATGGGAAACTGATTCAGAAGCTGGCATCAAAATTCGCGGAAACCCATGTACTTGGATAATTCCAATGACGGATGATCAGATGAGAGAAGCACGTACCTCAATCAAACAAAATCGAGGGCAGCAGTCGGATTCAGGAAGATCGAATGGAATCGAGGACGCAGGAAACAAAGACCTCTTCTTCCTCTCAGTCTCCAAGTCGCCCTTTCTTCTGTCTCTCTCTTACTTTCCTTTTTCTTTTTTCCTGTTTTCCTATTTTTCAATAATATGTTTTATTTTATTTTTTTTACATTTTATTACAAGAGGAAGAGGGAAGTCTTGCGTGTGAGCAGAGCATCCACTCTTTCCATGCATGTAACTCACATTTAAATATGTTTTCTTTCTCTATTTTTCAGTCCAAAGTAATTTTTATTCCATTCCTTTAAAGGGGAAATAATAAACCCATCTTTACCCAAAAATAATAATAATAAACACAAACTTTTTTTTATCTCAAAAGCCACTTTTACTCTTATCCATTAATTGTGTTTGATTTATTTAATTCAATTGTTTATAAATAAAAGAATTAAAAAGACGATGAAAATCACTATCCTTTAAAAACTACATACTTCACAAAGCAGCTTTCCATTTATTCAAATGGATGGTAATAGCAAGCCAATGGAATTTCTCATAGATGAGACTGAAAATTTTGACAAGATTTTAGTGAAGCCATATTTGTGCACCCTAGCCTATCTTGTACCGTTGTACGAATTCTATCCTTATTACTTAGTAGGACTTGTAATGACTTGTATTTTGTTGGATTTGTGTTGTGTTGAGGCAAGTATATAACATATGCACATCCAATCTTTCACCTTACCAGACCCCTCATTTCTTTCTTGATTCTAACAAATTCCTAGCAATGCATGTGGTCGAAAAGTTCTTCAATATGATATCTCAATGTGTGACAATTTTGAGTGGTGTGACCAATGCATTAGTGAAAAAAGTAGTACTCGTTTAGCCTTTTCTTGGCCAGATGTTTTGGGAGAGGTTGTGGCTGCTTAAGGAAAGCTTTGTCCTTGATGCTAAGGAGGAAATTGTTGATAGTGGTGTTTAAGACTGTGTATTACATTGGCTTGGACGAAGCTGGTTTGTCCTTGTGTCCTCTTTTATCATTTCAACAAGGAGAATGAGGTATCATGATCTTCCCTCCCTCTTTCAATCAAATTTGCTGATATGGTCTTAATCGGGGATCCTTTTCTTGGTTTTGTCATTCTAATTAGTGAGGCCATTTGCCACATCGAAGCATTCTGCCAGGGTAGCATAGTCGTATTTCCTTTTGTTTATCTTTTGGGAGAGAGGTGAATGGACATATAGTGCTTGCTTGAAAGCCATGGTGGCGAGCTTATCATCTAGCCTTTCTACTTTGGCTAATTCTAAGCAAAATCACTTCAAGTATGCCTAAAGACTTTCATCCTTACTTTGGGTAGCCATGCTAAATATGGCTTCCTGACGTTTGCAAACATAACGATACACCGAATAAGTGTTCGTGAAAATGTCAGCCAGGCTTTCAAAGTAACCTATCGAACGGGCTGATAACTTAGAGAACCATCTCATTTCAAGGTCCTCTAAGGTGGATAGAAATATCTTGCATATCCAAGCATCATTATTGATGTACAACGGCAAGGTGTTCCAACAGTACATAATGTGATAATTCGGGTCGAAATCTTCGCAGATGTACTTAAACCAAAGTTGAGATAACTTTTCAGGCGGAACGCCAATTTTATTGTTAAAGAAAGAAGGCTTTTGACTTTGGCAACAATCTTGTTGGAGATGCAAGGCTGAATTTCCCTTGGTGCATTCCTAGCTCTGTCACAGTTCAGGGGTCAGCGCCACTCTTGCTCTTCCGAGGATTCTAGGTCATTGAAGTTTGGATGATAGGGTTCCATCTTTGGTACTCGTGCAGTGTCCAAATGATTAGGGTCGCATCTGATCTATATCCCGTCTGTAGAGGTATTATTGACAATATATCCCTTGTGCGGGATGCTAGTAATGAGATTAGCAATTTTCACTAGGGTGAAAGTAAAAATTGGTATGACGAGTTGCCCCTTTGGAGTTATGGTACTTATATTACCATAGTTGAAGACTGAAACCTAGGTTTATGGACTGGTCCCATTAGAGTTTTCCAGAGCTCTTATCCATTTGTCAATGTTCACGAAGTTTACATGATTCTCTGCTCGCAAAGCCGTATAGGCTCTTTGCAACTTATCAACAAAAGTGTTGATCTTCAGTGGAGTCTCCCAAGTCTGTTCCATGGAGGAAGAAGTCTAGTGACATGAGCTTTACCATTCCCTAGGATGATTTTAGTATCAGGGGTTTGGTTGTTCGCATTGGGAATGGTGAAGACGTCAGGGATTGGGTTATTCTTAGTTGGAGTGATGGAGGTGTCGGGGAATGGATTCTCTCATGTCGCCTGTGCTAGCGTTAGCGCTAACAGAACTTTCTTATGTAGACATGTTTTTGGTAAAGTGATTTAGCCAGGAGGAATATGGGTTCACTCTCTATGAAAGCACTAATTGTTGGAACCAAATTCGCGCAGCATGAAGAACCTGTAAAATAACAGACAACCGTAAGTAGTCAAAGACTAATGGGTGCTGACCAAAGGCTCTTTGACGACCAAGTTAGTAAGCAAATATATGAGACTCAAGCATTAGGCGAGATTATAAGTGTGTGGTGATTACGTTATCAAAGATGAACCCTAGATGTTGTATTTATATCAGTCGAGATAGAGACCTTTTAGGATAGAAAGTTTGTTCAGGAGAATCCTAGAGGATATCTAGGATTAGATACTGCATCTTCTTAGAAGTATGATTTCTTTTGCCACATGTGGCACATGCTAATCTTTAGATTGTAAGGATTCTAAGAATATAGGAAACCTGATGACTCCTCACTAAATTTTGTTTTTGCATTCTGCTTAACAAGCATGGTCAATCTCAGCAAAGTCATGTGACTTCGCCCACTGCTCTAGAACAGGATAATGGTGGCATCGATGCTTCATCTGTGCAGTTCCACTGCAAAAGCTGTTGAGTCCATGATCGAACTTTTGAGGTATTCGTGTTTCGATCCACCTCACTCCTGACTTCTGATTTTACTTTGAAAGGCATGGTCTTTGGATAACTATTCATCTTCGTGGGGAACTTCCATTTCAAATACATAATTAAGGGCAACTGTGAGACCATCATTTTCTAGGGTCGGAGTAAAACGGATCGAAATATGAATACCTCAGAAGTCCGGTATAACGACCCGCCCCCAAAAATTATAGTTTTTATAATTTTAAAATGTGAACTTACGAAAATGCCCTTCGAGGTAAATATGTTGACTTTTGTTGACCGCCTTGTCATGTCACGTAAGATTCATTTTTCTGGCATATACTCATAGTACTCGTCGCTACAAACACATGGGGTGTAAACGAAACATAATTTGGAGTTATAAACGAACAAAGTTGAGGGCAAAATGGTCATTTGACCATAAATTTGGAAAGCTCCATATTTTGTTGGAACACCAATATGATGCCACGTGTGTGGCTGGGATGGAAAATAAAGAAGAGAAAGGAGGGAGGTGTACGGTTAAGATGGATGCTGATTAATGGGAGAAGAAAGAAAGGAGGGGAAATGAGGGAAAGGAAAAGCACGAGATCCACGATCCGTTTCTCCTTTTTCGACCCGACCCAGACGATAGTTATGGAATCCAGTAATTTTTCATTGGTTTTTCTAACAAATCACGTCACCTAACCACCTAGAATCAACTCTATGACCCTTTTCTTCAAGTTCCACCCCAAATTCGACAGTTTTTAGCATTGGTTTCGTGAGGGTACCACCGACGGCACCATGGGAAGATCGACAGAAATCCGCCAGTTTTGCAAGCACCACTGTCGACCACCACCCTTGTTCAACTCCCCTCGAGGTCTGGATCAAAGCCCAAACAAGTTTGGGGGCGGTGAAGCTACAAATTAGACAAATTGAGGTTCACCTATTTTGGGGTTTCCTGCAATTCGAGGGCGATTTGGGGTGTTTCCCAACCGAATTGGACTTTGGCCTATGTATGAAAGTTGTTCCTCTCATTGAGATATTCATTCTTGTAAAATTTGGGAATTTTTGGAGTTGTTCGATTTTCCGACTAGTCGGGGAGGCCGGCCGCCACATGTGGCGGCGCGTGGGGGAAAACCCGAGGTCCCTCTTTAGGTTTCTCAATGTGCCGAATCCGAATCCACCTTCCGTTTTCCCAAATTCTAACATTTTAGTAGATTTTTACTAAAAGGTCTCTAATTGTGTTTAGGCGCGTTGGTGGGAAGCGATGTCATCACTGGTTCGAGCGGTTCTCGAGCAATAAAAACTATGAGTGGACCCCTTCCTAATTTATATATTTTTATAAAATATTAGCCTAGTATGCATTGCATATTTTATGAATGGAGCATGATTTATAATATGTTTTACGGATTTTCATACTTATGATTTATTTAGATTGCTTTTACGATATAATTATGATTTATCAGATTTATATATTACTAAAGGTTATGAATGATTGGATTTTTGGTTATGAAATTCTATGGTTTCACGTATATGATTATTATGGATTTATGATGATGGTTTATCATGGATTTTTTATACGAGTTTTGAGATATGTTTTTGGTACTTACCTAGCAAGTTATCATACAGCACATCTGCATACCATGGGTATAGATGTCTATGGTCATAGGACATAGATGATGGAGGAGTGAGATATGATATATGATATACCCCCAGCTTCACTGCCGAAAGCAGTGTCGAACAGCTTCACTAGCCACGACTAGTGTCGGTATGGATATATGCTATTTTATAGAGCTTCACCTTCATGTGATGGACAAGTTATTCAGCTTCACCTTCGGGTGATGGACAGGTTATTCAACTTCACCTTCGGGTGATGGACAAGTTATACAGCTTCAGCTTTGGTTGATGGACAGGTACTGCCTTCAGGCAACTATGATACCTTTGTTGAGTACCTCGTTGACGTGATTTACAGATGTTTTACATGGTTATGATTTATAGAGGTTTTACGGATTTTCCTTTGGGCGACTATTATTATTCCGGAGCGTTGGTTTACACATACATGTTTTATAAAGGGTTTTCATGGCATGCTAGGATTTTTAGAAAACCTACCACATAGTATTATAGATGTGTTTTCAAAACAGGGGGTTATTATGTTCATAATAAAATGTTTTCCTATTATTAGTATTATTAATATAAACTTTGGTCCACTCACCTTTTCTATTTTGTGCCCTCTCAAGAGTTAGGATAAAGGCACATGATCCTGGTGTCAAGGCGTTTCAGCTTAATTATCCTCGAGTCTTCTCAGTATAGGTATCATTTTCACGTTCATATCTTTTCTTAGTAATTCTTTCATATTATTCTTAGTTAGTTGTATGCTCTGAGCACATTCTTGCTTTGGTATAATCGTTCTAATTGCATATATTTTAGTTATGGGTGTCGGCCAGCACGTGCCCATCCTAGTATTTGGGAAATATCGAGGTTGGGGCATGTCATCAGGTCATGAATTCAATAACTTATATCGCAGAGCTGTACAAATGGATCAACGATGCCACCATCATTTTGTCCCAGATAAGTGGGCGAAGTTCGTCGACTTCACTGAGATAAACCATTTTTGTCCGCAAGAAACGGAAACTTGATCCAGTATGGAATCAGCAGGTTTCCTATATTTTTGGAGTTCCTAAATCTAGGGTTTTGGCGTGCGTGACAAGTCATCACACTCCTATGGGAATGCAATATCTACTCCTAGATGTCCTCTGGGATTCTCCTGGTTTGATACGGATTCTATATCTTAAAAGGATTCCTTCTCGACTAGTATAAGTACACCCTTCTAGGTTTCATATGGGGTAACACAATATCGCATACTCTATTCTCTAGCCACTGCTGGAGTCTCATATTTTGTTTACTAACTTGACCGTTGAAGAGCCTTTGGTCAGCATCCCACCGGTCCTAAGGTTACTTTACGATTTGTTAATGTTTTATAGGTAGAGTTTATGCACCTCCTCTCCTCGCAATGGTGCACAAATTTGGTTCCTACATTCTTCTATATCATCCTTGTGTTTATTTCTTCTGCTTTATGAAAACTCTTCAGTTTTGAGCCTTTAGGAGTTCTACATTGGTACACCACCAAGTGGAGTGAGAGATTCAATTATAAAAATGTGGATAACACTTGCATTCCCCCTTTAGGAGATGTGCACATTCCTCCACTTGCAAATAACATATCTTCATCGTATAAATTTCATAATCGAACCGTTTAATGTCTTAATCTTTACTTGAAAATCATCCTACAAAAGACATTCGATTCCAATAGCGTTTAGTCATCTAAATGTATCATATATATTTTACGGTTAATCATGAATATGCTATTTGATACCTACACCATTGATTTCGATTGTAGCTCTTATTTTACATGGACCTTTTTACTCTTTTATATCTACTTTGTTTATGTAGAGCTATAATATTCCCGATCGTTAAAAACACCCTAAATATTTCGTACTTCGGGAGCACTCGGGAATCTACGTTGAATGCTGCAAAATGTCGACAACCTCAAACATCCAAAAAAAAAAACTTGATGGCACGGTTTCTGAACCTTGTTGCTTTACTAGTTTGTTTTGATAAAGTTCCCTTGCTGTTATCCTTGTCATGTACTTGTAGTGGAATCTTCTGTGCACTAGATAGAAGAGATAGACTCCTTAATAACTAATCCTCTTCTATTTTATAATCTCTCCTTTCAATATATGATATATCTTTAATTTAGTAAGTTATCCTCCAGTTCAATCATGTGTACAGACGACATACAAAACTGGTTGCAACGATGCTTATTATTCCATTGATTAAAATAACGAAAAATATCACATTTCGTCAAGACTTTAATTCCTTCTATTCAGTTGTAAAAAAACCTAATTCTCAAACAAACTATATACCAATCTCGAACCTCAGTAGAAAATAAGAAGCAAACCTAAATATCCTTTTTATTGTTTTAAAACATAAACTTCTTTGATAGAAAAAGATGTTACGGAGGATAAATATAAAAATAAGCTGCAATTAGGCTAAAAGGACAAAGAAGCCCAAGCAAAGCACATGATGACCTAAGCAAAGCATATGATGACTCAATCAAACTTAATCCATTGACACAAGTCACCGTGACAGCCACTATGCACCTTACCAGTTCATCACTCGGGTCGGCAGTGACCATTAGTTTCCATCACTCGGTTCGGCAGAGTCACCATTAGCACCAACAAAAACCAAAGGTCCCAGAACAAAAACACAAATACAAGGTAAAACTACGCTTAACATAAAAAATACTGCCACATTGCAACCCTAAATATCATACTGGAAAACTCTACGACGTAAAAAACCTACGCCTAACATAAAATAACAAAACTGCTAACTTTTGTTTAATGACAGCAGTATAATTATTAAACAGATTAAGATTTCCAGTATTACTTAAGATTTTCATTGGAATTACTCTTAATCCCATCAACAGCGAGTCCTAATTTTAGTGAGCACCGAGCAGTACATTTTGATCATCCAATATACTAGTGAAGAAGAAGACCGACGTGGCTGGCTAACAAAACCTTCTCCATGGTAAACCAATAATTCAAAGCAGTTCTAGTTTCAAATATGCAGACTGCTGACAAATTTGAACTACAATTATGCAATTGTCAATTGCTCATTACCTTCCACTACACTATCCTACATCAAATGTGGTTCCTCACGAATCCAAAGCCTTGGAACTCACACAAGTGTTAGCATAAAGAAAACCAAAAGTGCAACCAGGCTCAGAGGCTTTTGGAGATGCCCGGATCTCCTTTCTGCAGCTCCGTAATATGGTTCGATCATTATCTCAAATCTGCATGATCCGACAGATGGGTTTGTTTTGGTGATCATTGAAAGGTTTGGAAACTTGCAAGCTTCATCAAGTTGATTGTTCCTCTGGTAGTAACTGTTAACAGCATATGAAATGTTTGCTCGATCATCCAAGTTTCCACAAGATGTCCCGTAACCAAGGCTAGTACAATCTGCAAGTCCACAGGCATAGCTCACACTTAATGCTACTTGTTGGTCATCAAGGCTTGCTGAAGGCTTCATCACACACCACTTACGCTCCAAATAGCGCACACCTTTTGCTGGAACTAATGCCCCTGAATTTGTGGAACCAAGGTTAAGCTGGTATTTTGCTAACCCATCAAAAGTAAATATTCCCCAGTGTCGTTCAAAGTTTCCTGGATCAATGCTTTTAGCATCCTCATCAATCAAACTGAACAGATAAGCATCAATTGGCCCTGGTCTCATTGGGGTTCCTCTGCCACCCAATATGTGGGACATGAAACCTTGGTTGAACCTCTGAGCATAAACTAGATTAGCATTCCGGTCGCCATCTGTTGGCCATCCAATCTCTCCAACTATGATTGGTAAATTTCCAAAGCCATTCTTCTGCAGGGTCCACACAAGAGTATCATAGTTTGCGTCAAACATATTGTAGTAAGTTGCACTACCATCAGTAATTGGTGAGGCATTGCCATCAAAGAAGGCATAATCAACAGGGAAGTTGGAGTCGATGTAAAGGCTTATAAAGGGGTAGATGTTCACGGTGAAGGGGCAACCATTGTCACTCAAGAACTTCACAATTTGAATCATGTAATCATGGATATCAGTTCGGAAGTCACCACCGGATGGAAATCCATTTGAACTCGCATACACATCAGCGTTCTGGGGTACAGTCACCTTTACTTGGTTGCTAAGGCCAGCTTTTATCAGGGCAGACTGGACATTCTGCAGTGCAGGGAAGGTTGTTCTGAGGAAGCTACCGTTGTATGTTGACAAGAAAGGCTCATTTCCAACTGCAACGTACCTGAAGAAATAGGATGAACACATACAAAGAGGTCAAGACTATGCAAATCTTGCAAGTAGAAGAAATAAAGTTTCCTCTGCACATTATACAGCATTGAAAAGCATAACATACAAAATTAATCAAGAAATCAGAACAAATAAGTTCCTGATTGTCCTTGCTGAGTTGCTAGACAGGAGATTTATTAATGTCGTGGTTCTCTTAGCTTAGCAGACACCACATTAATTATGTGACGCATCGACATATGAAAGAATCACAATACATAAATCCAAACAAGTTAAACATCCAGTTAACTTTGTAAGACAAGAAAAATAACAGTGGTCCAGGCACCACAAGCTGGGAGCTTATATAGTACAAATGTTACGGAGTAGAAGCAAATGGATCTGATCATGTATTAAGAGAGAGATTTGTTGCACCAAAGCCTTCTAAGATAAAACCCCACCATTGAATGCTTACAAAGGTGGTTAAGTAGGAAAGTGCAAGAAACGTGGGTCATCAAGAAGTGGTATTGTAACTAGCAAAAAAAAAGAAAGAAAATAAAAGAAGTGATATTGTAGTTAATGGTTAAGATAAAACCATTGAGAATTCATTCAAATTCACCCAGGCCTCTGAAGATAAAACCTCATACGTTCACAAGGTGGTTAAGCTGGGGATTATAATTGGTAATATTTCATCATGCATGGTGGAAAAAGATAAGATATTTAGAACACAAGGGACCGTGTAATTTAGAAAAACCAGAACTTCAGGAGAGTTTTGATGAGTTTAAACAAAAAATAGGACATAAATTGAAGTTAAGATTGGATAGTCGAGGAAGTAAGCTCATCAGAAACTGAAGTGAAGATTCGATTACTTCATGAGCATTCTTAGAAAACCGGGGGCATTGCTGTTATGGAACGATGAAACAATTCAACTTCCTATTTTTACTTTTACAATAAATGGGAGAGAAATACCAACAGACCAAGAGTTAGCTTGTTTTCATTATAACTATATATTCTGCAAATAATAATAGAGAAAATTCAATTTTCCACCAAATATAGAAACTGTAAGAGAGAAAGTGATTGATTGAAAGTAAGAAATGAAATGGACAGAAAGGGGGGAGAAGGAAAAAGAGGGAGGGGCGAGTAGGGACCTGATCTTGACATTGTTGGAGGAGATGTGGGCAGAGACGTTCTTGGAAACCCATTTCTCAGCAGCCTTAACGCTGGTGGCGAGAGAGGCGAGCATATCGTTGGGAATGCCGACCATGACCTCAATGCCAGACTTAGCGAGACTGTTGAGAGTGTCGTAGTCAGCATCGAAAAGCTTAACCCGCTGAAAGCCGTTGTCTTTGAGAAGCCGGACCACGGTGTCTGGGGGGAGAGGGTGGGATGCCTGTGTCCCCCAGTTGGCTCCAATCCCGCTCACCATTCTCACCATTCTTAGTCTGCTGTTGGTGTTGGTGCTGCTGCTCCACATGAGCACCACTATCATTGTTACCAAACAGGCCACCCTAATCATCCTCATCATCCCCATCATCTTCAATAGCTGTAATTACTCACTCAAACACTGTTTATGGATGATGAGAGTTTTTTGTAATCAGTCAGTTATCAGCAACATAAATGTACAACAAATAAAAACCCAGAAAAGCAGTGATTAGATAGTGTTTGGACCCCATTTTTAGTTTTTAGGGTCAACAGATAGATTGATGGATATTAGATACTGGTGTGAGAGTGATATTTCTAATCTAACAACTAATTAACTAACAAGGAAAGGAAGATCAAAACAGACAAGGAACTATTACTCTTACCTAGAAATGAATCAGTCATTAAATCATTGCATGATATATGTGACTGACAGCCCAGCCAGATGAGAAATGGTGAGGTTCTAGAAGATTTAGACAGACAAGAAACAACTCAACAACTAATTAAAACCAACAGCGAGCCAGCCAGCCTCTCTTATAAGGAAAGGAAAGCCACCCCAGGATAGATAGGATTAATACAAATCCCACTAGAATAGAGAGAGATTGGGGCAAAGGCGATGAAGATTGATTATCTCTCGTCTTTCCTTCTTTTTGGCGATGGAGTTTGTAATCTAATCTAATCTAATAGATAAGCTCAACAATCCATCACTTACCCCTTCTTACAACTTGCTATACATCCTTCTTCCTACATTCGCTGTTGCTACTTCTTATACTTGCTAGCTGTTGCCTGTTGCTGCTTCTTATACTTGCTAGAGAGAGAAAGTGAAGAGAGAGAAAATGAAGAGAGAGAAAGTAAAGTGAAAAGTAAAGTAAAGGAGCTGCAAAGATGTCATATTATTATTATACTGGACGGGACAGGAGGAGTACACAGAAGATAGAGATGCAACAATAAAAAAAAACCAAAGCGAAATTAAGCAAGCGTGTTTCGTTGCGTTCTGTCTTCTGTGTCTGTTTTCACAATATTACACGCTGCATCTCTCTCACCTCTTTTTTTGCACTACACTACCGCACAGTGCATGCTCAAGTGGCAATTACTTTGACTGCGACATCATGTTGTTTATTATTATTTTTTTAATACATTCATATTTTTATACTAAGGGAATAGGGGGTTCGGCTAAACCATGTATGAGTAATCTAATTTGCTATCGAATTCGCTATTCATGATATTCGAATTTAAGAACTCTCACTTATAAATGAAAATAAATATCACTAAATCGTAGTACTAAATGGCATCATGTTGTTGTTGTCTATGTTGCAATTGCTTAGTCGATGTCTTCTATCATGGGGAAAGGGATCCTCTTTGGATTCCTTCCACCAAATCTTCCCTATCAAACAATCCGGACCCTTGAAAGTTGATCCAACTGCTAAACTTATTATAACTTTTAAAATGGACCCCTGTTTATAGTCGTTGGATCAAATTTCAAGGGCCTGAATTAGTTAATGAGGAGGACTTCGTGGAAGGGATCCGGAGATAATTCCTTTCCTCGTGATGGAGGGACAAAGGTAACTTGACTGTCTTGTCCTTCGAAATTTTTTTAAAATATTATAAAATCAAATTTTTTCATCTTTCAATTTTTTATTTTTTTATTTTTTTTGGAGCAAAGGTAACATGCATTACCAACAACAAACATTACAACATCGAGGCCCAAAATTTACAACACAGAGGCCCAAAAACAAAAAAACACAAACAAAAAACAGAGGCCCAACCAAAAGTTGAGACCAAAACAAAGAAAACACAGAAACAACTGAAGTAGTTGCATCTTCTGCCATAATCGCCACTGCAATCACCAAAACAGCAATCGTCATGTCGACCCAGCCAAATTCGCTCCTCAAACAAAGCCTCGCCTCACCGATACCAGTAGCTAATTCCAAGCTTCACTCCTAACCCAGCTACAGACACCAGAGAACCTGCAGCCAAGTGAAAGAAGCTCATGGCAATCCATGACCAACACTGCCAACAAGGGCAGGTAGCAAAGAGAAGGTAGGGGTGCAAGGAAGACCGGACCCAGTACAAGCATCAAATCAAAGCACACCAACTGGAAACACCGCAACAAATTGCAACAAAGGGTGACTGAAGATTGAAAATTGGATGAATATGGATGAGAGACAGCATAGAGGAGAGAAGAAGGCAAATCGGCCAATAAAACCAGGGAAGAAAACAGCAGATGGAAGAGGAGAAAGAGAGGGAGACAGAAACAAAAGAAAACCTACCGATCCCAGTCGGAGCTAGGATCGACGGCACGGGAATTAGACTCGATGAGGAAACATTCACACAGATCGATGAGATTAACCCTCACACAAAGGGAAGATCTCTCATGGAGAGAGAAAGGAAAGTTTTTCATTTCAATTATGCAAATGCTAAATCTTTTCATTTTGACTTGAAATGCACTTGTTGGGGTTCATTGAAAAGCTTGAAAGCTATCACTATCCCGTTACATGTAGTTAGTATCTTGGGTATATTTACCATAGTTCTTTTTAGCAGATTCACGTTGACTACTGGCTGAAGATGAATTTTGAACAAATTCAAACTAAAAAAGGCCCACAACTCATGACTGGGGGACAATTCGTATGACACCAGTACATTGCTACGCTAACACTCATGTTGAGTAATATGAAAAAAAATATACACATATTCTAGTATTATTGGCACAAGTACACTCTTAAAATAATATTTTATGTCAATAATACAAGAATATGTAAAGAAAAATGATCACATACTATAATATTATTAACACAAAAAACCAGGTGATAATATGTGTCATGCCAGTCCTCTCTGAAATGGACTGAAGGTTGCCGTGCTTATTGATGACCTCACCTAACATTACGTTTCTTAGACACCCGTTGCGGCTCAGTCACTCGCACTCTATTTGAATTCCCATTAATCCAGCTCTGACACACCATTATCATCTCTCAACAATCGCCCATTCAAAAGCTTGTCCCTCTAGTTTTATTTTATTTTATTTTATTATTATTATTATTATTAATACAATTGAATTCTGCGCTATTTTTTTTTTCTTTCTGCACTCGGCTATCCTTTTTTAGCCTCTCAGATTCAGTAATTTTCTCCCACCACACATCACACTTTTAAAAGACCTATTATGATACACTGCGTATCATTGAATTATAATGATATAAGAATAAATGACTGAGATGAAAAATAGAAGATTTAAAAGTTATGGAAGTCAAATCTAACAACTACTTCATTCATAGCATTGAAGCCACATCCTATGATAGTGCCACGATAATGGAGTAACTTACCTGCAATATACATTGTGTATATCTTTCTCCACACGCATACAATGTTTCTCTTGCAAAGAATAATATGTAGCTCATGCTACATTTTGTGGCCCCTACCCCTGAGGAGTGATTAGAGCACTTAATGAATGAAAATAAGGAGAGGTTATAGCTCCAAAATCCAAAAACCCAAGCCCACCAAGGCATGCTTGCCTTGGCAAATTGCGGAGTCCACACCACAAAGGACTAACCCAGCTAGCTACAACCACTGCATCCCCTCCACGCCAATTCCCCCAGCGGCAAATTCAACAAAACTCAGCACAACTCTCGAGCCCATTCTTTTAGCCCATGCAATTTAGGACTAACCAATTAACTAAAGCCCAAAAGTCCCACCATTTTACATTCACATAAATGCAAGCGAAGGTATGGGTGGCTCAATGACACAAATTATACCTTTTATTTGTGATAATATCTTTTTTATAGAATACAAAACAAACACATGAGCTTTAATCATAAATACATTTCCTCTTCGCAAGTTATCACAAATATTCAATCAATCTCTTTCCTCTTTCCCGACCGTAAAACATGTTATGGCAAAGCTAAATTTCAGTTTTCTGTATCGCACAAGGCACAACCTTGAGAGATACAAATTAGAGCTCAGAGACCGAATGATTACATAGGCCACATTGAGTAAATTGCACTGTCAGCTAAAGTTACAAGGGAGATGACGTTTCACTACTTCAAAAGTCACCTGATTTCAGACCTGGTCACCGCTTCAGTAAAATCTGCTCTTCACTCCTCACTTGGACATAGATGATGCACTGCCGCAAACTAGCCACAGGGATATGTTAGAAACCACTCTCCTCAACAGCATCTCCAGAATCCTTTGCCAATCGTACCACAGATCACATTTGCAGGTTTTCAATTGATTTTTGGCTTTGGTCGTCTTGGCCTTAATACAAGATACAGTACACCAAGGACAACCAAGTAAGCAGGAATCGTACTCAAATTAAACACCACGTGCACTTTTCTCTCTCTTGTGCAGTGGATTGGGTGGAGAACAGCGATAGTTGTATTTACTTGATCTACAAACCTGCGACAGAAATGAGAAGGGAAAAAAATAAACAGAAAATGAGTACGAGGGGTGATTTTCGGTTGGATCGGAAACAAGCATTCCAACCAATCCAAAAAGTTTTGGAATAAAAATATTAGCTCCAATTTTGGAATTTTGGATTATCGGAAGATTCATAAGAACATAATTCAGATCTCCTACATTATGCAAGACTTTGAAAACTTTTAATACGTATCCACCTTTTTTTTCTTATTTTTTGAGATATTTGTATGTTGTTACATGTGTATGACAGAAAATCCTATTAGACAAGATAAAATAGTATGTATAATCATACTAGTCATGTTTAATATATAACAGTATGATTAAATATACAAAATACGAAATAAAGCATATCTAAATATAACAATAAGCATTGATAAAATAAGGATAACCACAGTTTTTTTCTAAGAGTACTAAGTTTGAGAAATTTTGGATCGGATAGGTTATAGGTATATTCCAATTGCCATCCAAATTTTTCGAAATTTTTTAGATTTGGAAATGTTCAGATTTGGAATGGAAATTTTTGGTTGGGATTAGAATTTCCAATCCAACTTGCACTCCCCTTTTCCCATATCAAAAGAAGAGGCAACTTGGCAAACATTCAGGGTATCAATTTTGGACTAATTGGATCAGTTTGAAAAGGTTAACTTCTGTTAATGACTGGAACTTTATCGAACAATTTTTTTCACAAAAGAAAACAATAATAATAATTTGGACCATGAGCCATAGCTCAAGTTGGATTGGATGGGAGAAGTGAAGGCAGAGATCCTAGGTCCAAGTCTCCATGTAATACAAACGTAATAATGTGGACAGAGATATTTGTAGTTTAATAGTTTATCAATATCCATAACTGAACAATTGAAAAAAAAATAAAAGGTCTTGGATAGCTAACCCTTTTGAGGCCTCCTCTAAGGTATATAGAAGTCTCATGGCATCCACATATCGCAATTCTCCCGTAACAGTTGATATCTGAAAACACCAACATTATCCGATTGTAAACTAGATGACTCCAGAAAAATGCAAGAGACTAGATTGTGACGTACAACAGAAGGTAATAGATCCTTTTACTTACTCTTTTCCACAGGCTGACAACATAATTATACTTGTTAACTAGCTCGCCCTCCTGAGACTGAACAAGTTCAAAGGTTTTTTCAGCTAGTCTCAGTCAAGTCTGCAATCGTATGTACTCATGTTCCAATAAAATCGGACAACTGTTGATTGAACAATACAGTATTATGTACAAGGATAACCACATTTATGAGATTTCCAGAATGCTGCCACTCCTAATCACCATTAACTGAT